AGAACAACTTGTAATATGTTATCAAAATAGTGCTTCCATGTATAATAAGAGACAAGAATTTCGCAAAGCAATAGAATATTTGATCACAGCAGTGAGTATTATCGAATGTTTCTTTTCTGATCTACCGAATAATTACTGCATACTAGCCAAATGCTACCGAATGATTGCAGGAAATTATTTTCAATTATCTGATTATGATGCGAGTATAAAATTTTTTAAGAAATATTTGGAAACTATAGAAAAACATCCTGAAGCAGATTCACAATCACCACTTCACGATCACGCTAGTGAAATATCCGACACGTTTAAGCTTCTTAGTTGCATGCATCGTCGGAAAATGGATTACGATTAAGCTATTTTTTACGATGAAAAATTCTGCGTCAGCAGATCAAAACAAAATTGCGTTATCCTATTCGATGGGACATTGTTACATGCACAGTACCGCTCTAATACATAAAGTATGTGAACGAAGTCTGAAGTACGTGACGAACAACATAACCGTCATGTGACACGGCCTAATTACTACAGCTTCTCGGGCTAGTCGTCGTGGTTAGGTTGCAAAGAGCCGCATGAAAATTTGCTTGATCGATACAGCTTTTCAAGGGCTGCAAAATGCCTATATTATTTTATTTTTGTGATTAACAGCCAACGAGTAAATTTTTAAAAATGATTTTTCAGCTTAGAAAGTAGGTCCTTTTGTACTTGTTTCGTATTCTTGTTGTCATATTTCTTTTTCGCTTTGTATAGGAAAACGTTTGTAGAAGTTGGATTTATTTACGTGAATGTGCCGTTTCTCTGTCTGCTGCCGTTGGCCGATAGGTAAATGAGTCACTTTGATATATGGCTCTCATTTCTCTCCCCGTTCTGCTTTTTCTTTCTTTTTCTCTTTTCTAGCATGTGAAGTCAATGACAGTGTTGTTTTGAGCGTCATCATATCACTACATGGTTTCATGGCGAGTCGAAGTTGAATTGCTCTTGTCGGAGTTATTGGTGGCGAAGATCGAAGTGGATGCTCACGTTTGGTCGGTCGAGAATTGATAAAAAATAGATGCGTTGTTTTGACTGGTGGTTGTCCGATGGATGCTCGAAACGAAACACAGTATGCAGCCATTATGGGTCCCTTCGATGCCGAACAACACGGTGGAGGAGTCGCGCGTTTTATTGGAGTTATGCCACACAACAGCAACCGAGACTTGACTTTTGAATGTTTGACATCCACACAACTTGTCATTCACAGCGGTCTGAGTAGCTTGGATCGTGACCCAATCAACGGGACAACACCTGATGCACTCATATGTTTCGGTGGAGGTTTGGGTACGATTTGTGAACTCGCTTTTGGTATTAGTGCTGGACGTGAAGCCATTTTTCATGAAAATTGCGCGCAAAACTTGCTCGACATATGTACAAAAAACAAGCGCGATGATATAGAACAGATACTGTCGCAATTGGCTGTCGAATGGCAAACACATATACAGCTTCCGGATGGTGGCGCTGTCGCAATCATTGATATACTAACGGAATATCTTCGTAAGGCTGTTGACCGTGTACCATTGACGTCCGCGCCGCCAATAGTACAAGCTGTGCTGGATATCCTACCAAATCAGCTGCCGGATATTCCAGCCTTTCCCGGTCTACTCGATTCCCATCGTAAGCAACAACAACTACGCGAGTTTGCTACATTGTGGACGATACTTTCGAAAGATGCACCATAATAATAATATGATCAAATATTGTTGTTTAATTAGTCCAAATGTTACCAGCATTACCCACTCTCACAGCAAGTTATTGGCGAAATACTGAGACCGCCATTTATTCTGCCTCCACTCTGAAAAGAATCGGTGATTGACAAAATCTTACATGGTTTCGCCCGTTGTGCAAACCTGCGAAAGGATTTGTGCGTTGTCTCCTGATCTAAAACGGTTTCGTACTTTGAACTAAACCATTTGAGAATTTTGTCGTACCTATGGTTCGAAATTTTCTATTAATGGTTTCGTATAATCCTACACGTTGCTTTCCACATGATTTTCGATCAATCAGGAAAAAGCCTTGAAAAAACGTTGAAGTGTAAATGCATTCACGTAATATATGGAACATATTAGATATTCTCAGCGTCTACCCTATTTTTATTTTTACTCTATTTTTATTCTTCATCTTGGAGAGCGGTCGCACCCCCACTGTTTTCGTCAAAACTATTTCGTTTTCGGAAATCTCATTCTGGTTGGGAGACAAGTCGAATTTCGCTGTTTTCGGTCATTTCTGACTTAGTCACATACTGCAGAATATACTCATGTCCAAAGTTAAAAGCAAGGATTTCTGAAAATCTCGGTCTCTTAAAGGTCTTCAATTTTTTCATGCAGAAAACCTCAAAATACTGTGAGGGCGTCAAAAACCTCGAAAAACCGATTTTTCAGAAAAATCCCAATTATCTCCTGAACTTTTCATTTTTCTGAGATACGATGCCTTGCGAGGATAATGAGTTTCCGAAGGGTTCTGAGAGATTTCGAGAGAGTCGGTTTTTCAGTAAACCTCGTCATTACTCTGTGACCCTTCATGAGGCATCACATCGCAATGCGCATCGGGTTCTGAGTAAAATGAGATCTTCCCAGGCTTTCCAGCGTCTTTCTAGGCTGAGTTATTGGCAAATCTCGCAAAGGATTTCGGGTCAGCCGGATCTCTGAAACTAAATTGGCCTTATCTCAGCCTAGAGATGTGGTAGGAGGCTCGAGGACGTCTCATTTTGCTAAGAATTTGGCGCTCTGTCGATATGATGCGCTTGAGATGAAAAAGATTTTCGAAAGACTCTGAAGGTTTATCCGAGTTCTGCTTTTTTGCGAAAGCTACTTGAAAAACTCCAAATCTCTCAAACGCATTTCTAACGTATTCAGCATTGCTTTTTACCTAGGAAATCATAATAGCAGTTGTGTAGGTGGAAATATCACTGAGCTATGGGCTCATCATCTGAAGGATTTTTTCGAAAAACTCGCACTTTTTCAACCTTCCTACTTTCTCCTAAAAGGAAAAGCGTTTTGTAAAAAACGAAGCATACTTTTGTGGAGCAAGGCGAATCTTCTGGCGTATGAAAGAAGTCTCTAGCTCTCATGGTAAAAAGCTAGGCACCATTGCGCGGTGAGCACCCCAAGGTTCGAGCGATCAGTGTTTGATTAGCTACAAGAGTTTAAGACCTGAAGAAAAGTCATCGAATGACAAGTGCCTAGATATGCTTCGCGATGCTGAATTCGAAAATCATTCCGGTGAGATCGTAAAATGAAAAGATCAGGAGGTAATCGGGCTTTTTCTGAAAAATCGATTTTCGAGGTTTTTGACGCCCTCACAGTATTTTGAGGTTTTCTGCATAAAAACTCGGTTCAATGGAAAAAAATAAGATCCGATTCGTGATCAGCAGCGTCCGACGAATCAGAATATGTGTTTGAAATTTTAAAAGCTTTCCCACTTGATTTTTGAATTAGCGGCACCTTATAAAACACGTGTATTTGAATAGACGTATTCTAATTAAAAGCATATATTCAGTGGTTCTGTTCTAAATAAATACGGTATTTAATAAGAACAGAAATGAAGTGCAGTATATTATACGGGCAAGAACTCACTCGTTTTGCATGCTAAATTAAAACTTTTTGATTTCGATTCCTGAGATTCTCAGCTACACAATGGTGAAAACATTTTTGGAAAAAGTTCAAGAATAAGATCAGGATGAAGAAAATACTACGCTCGTCGAGTATTTCTGTTCTAATTAAAAGCAATCACTCTATGTCATAGTTTTGTTATGATAGTAAGTTCAAACATTCAGGTGAAATTTGGTTAAAATATTTCTTTCTTGCTCATTTATACGTGGAATACCGTTTTTAATTTGATTACAATCTTATTCGCTCTATAAAGGCACGATTTCCTGTTTGATTTATTGTTATTATTTGCATCTGAGAAACTTTAACGAAATACAATTTACTCTGTACAATTTGAAAGTGTCATGGCGTTGTTTAGTTAATTTGTCTACTTCATCGAGTCTCCCCAGTTCTTTTCTTTGTTCCTGACGTGGTTTTATCTGTAATATGTGGATATACGTCCATCACACTAACACATGACTATATGTAGGTACGTCCGTCACGCCCATTAGTCACTATGTGTATGTGCGTCCATCAAACCTGTGTACGAACAAACACACACACACACAAACAATTTGTTTCGTATGACCATAGACTTTCGGTCAATGGAATGAGGGATTCTGGCCAGAATCCCTCGGGTTCTGGTTTCCATTTTGCATCGTGAATGTTGCATATCGTGAATGGATACCTCAGTGGTTTGAGCTTTCTCATCTGTTATCAAATGGTTCTG